TGACTGATGCTGTGACCTGCTAGTCAGTCCACCTGAGGTGGGGCCCTGCACCAAATGCTGTCAGGTCCGTCCCCATCGGAATCCACACCCTCTGGGGTAAAGAGCTCTGGGGGGCCTTTCCTTTGCAGAGACCACGTATAAAGCAAGGTGACAGACACCTCCGGGAGCACTCAGCCCCAGGACATCCTCCCCCGCCCCCGGCACATGCTGCGTCCCCGTGGAGCTCCAGGCATTACCACCGTGAGGTTCAAGTCTCTTCTCAGAAAACCGTGCTGCGCTCTCGAAGGAAGATTTCAGTGGGACTTTGAGGGTCCATATGCCCCTGGTGGCCAGATGAATTGGTTTAATTAAGAGGACCTGCGGGCTCTTCCCAGAGCTCTTATTTAAGTTACAGAGCAGCACATGGGCCTGGAGGTGTCACCATAGCCACAGGCATCGGTGAAGCTAAAATCCTGCCTCACCCTTGCCACTCAGACCCACAACTGTTTTTAGTGGCCACAAGGGCGGGCACCTCTGAGTTCACGTTTCCTGGTTCTCTCCCTCCTCCTCAAGGACCTACTTTGCTTCCTGGGGAGGCGTTTGTCCTGCTCCCTAAGAGTCTGAGTCACCACTAAGTTCACGCCGATGTTAGCGTCTCGTCTTGTGAGGCCTGGCTTTGCACGGCTGCCGCAGCAGAGGACAAGCCCTCCTCCCCCTCCCGGGGTCTCCGGCTAAGAAGTAAATGCACAAAAGACAGATGAGCAAGGAGAAAAGCGTGGCAAGTGTGCTGAGGCTTTCCACGTACACGGGGCCCTTCACAGGAGGATGAAGTCCTAAAGGAGTGGCCAGAGCAGGAAGACTTTTTACCTTTTAGATAAAGAAACAGTAAATATGTGAAGGCTTGGAGGCTGGAGGGGCTCAGGTGGGGGCAGTGAACGGTGGAGAGCTGTGTCCCGTTGTCCTCTGTCCCCAGGTCTGGGAGTCGGCAGGGCGGGGCTGGCTCCTCCTTTCAGGGAGGAGGTGGGGGGCAGGTCCCAGTGGCCGCCCTCCTGCTCTTGCTCACCCGGCTCCTCCAGCTAGGATGTTCGACGTGTCAAGGTGCCGTGCTCGGGGGAACCTCCTAGGGCCCCCTGAGCTCCTGCAGGGGCACCTCTGCTCCCTGGGGGACTGTCAGGTGAGAGCGGGCGTGTTCCCCGCCATGCAGCAGAGGCTCCCCACCTGGCCAGTTCCTCTCCCGCCAGACCAGCTGTGTTTACCCAGCAAGTCCATGCCCTTCCAGCCAGCACAGCCATCTAAACGAGCAGTCTCGTCTCCCAAGGGAACCAGGGTCACCCCACCCTCTGGTAATGACGAAGTCCGCCTCCCACAGTCCCAGCAGGATCCTTGCTCCCCAGCCTGTGTGCCGCACCCAGGGTGCTGCCCTCCCGCCCCCACGCCCAGGCTGTGAGTGACACCTGTCCAGCAGGGGTCCTTGTGCTTGGCCATGCCCCTGACTCGAGGGCGGGTGAGAGGAGGCCTATGAGACAGTTGGAGGGTTTCAGGGAGGAGGCATGGATCAGTGGGTATAGTCCCGAAGCAACCCACGTCCACAGTAGTGTGAGAGACATCTCTGCACACCTCTGTTTGGCTCTGGGCTGGGGCTGGGCGCAGGGGGGTGGGAGGTGATGAGAATAATACCAACACCATTCCCCCTAAGGAATCAAACACGACTTTAAGACTAAACAGCACCGACTGAATAAAAGGAAGATTCACCCTAAACGTTCCCAACAGACAAGTTCTTACCAGGCTCCATGCACCCTCGGGGCCGTCACGGTCTTCACCGGGGATGCACGAACTGTCACTTGGTGGAGGAGTTAGCTCTGAAAAGAACCGCCTTTCCATGCTTTGGGCTGCAGAACAGCACCGAAGCCCAGTCAGCAGGGACTAGACAGGCTCTGCTCTGCACACTCGCCAGTGGCCCCACAGCAGGTGGAGTGGGTTGGAGGGGCAAACGGCAGTCAGGCAGGGAGAGGCTGCTCCACAAATCCAGGTGAGAAGGTGATGCTGGCTCGAGACGTGATGATTCCATCAGTGTCAGGGGCTCAGGTTCACTGGAGTTTGAGTGAAGGTGCAGCCATGGTCCCCACACTTCTGTTTGAACAGTTGTTACCTGAAGACTGTTAGGCAGTTAGATAAGTGGGGGTACCGGGCAGACAGGTGGAGGAGAGGGAGGAGGGTCTGGAAGATGGCAGTGTGCCCGCCTGCAGCATAAAGGGTCTTTACTTCCTCTGAACGAGTGCCAGCAAGAAACTGGTTAGAACCCAAGGGTGGAGACTGTGGGGTAGCAAGAAGGACCCAACCAGATGTGACCTAGTGCTATTAGCACTGCAGTTTAGCCCCCCCTCCTTGGGTCTTTCTGTGTGCATCATGCGTAAAGACATGCGCCCCAGGGCCGGGCACGACTGAGCACTCTGGGGCAAGAGCCGTCAGCCAGTCAAGAGGCCACCTGTAAGCGAGGGTAGCAGAGGAAGGGAGACAAAGACCATTGCTGTCTGCCCTGGACCTGCCCACCCCCGGTTCTCGGAGGAGTGCTTTTCCTTTTCCTGAGTAAATCCTGTGAAATCTTTTGCTGCACAACGCTGTCTCCTGTTGTCTTATCTTTCAGGTGTGACAAGAGCTGGAGTCTTTTCCCTTTCCCTTTTGGGGTAACAGTTCCATGAGTCCCAAGAGAGAAGGCAGGAAGAGGAACAGATTTAACTGGAACCGAGGGGGAAGAGGCTCCTTGGAAAGAGGCAGTGGCTAAAGCCTTCCCAGTGTTGGAGAGTGGTGAGTGGATCATGGACTGAAAGAGTATTGCCCGGATTTCCAGTCACTGGGGCATCCCCGGTGACCTCAGAGCAGGTTCAGGGTAGATCCAGAGGAAAGGGGCCCGAGGACTTGGAGGAGTGAGGAGGTGTAGTCATAGAGTGTAGACAAGAGGGTCACACCTCCTCTTTTTGGCCCGGTTCACTCTATGAGTCCAAATAGGATGGGTTAGCTTTCTACACAAAGTGGACTCCATTTTCCTGCACTTCACACTCCTGTGGGGCCCCAGGAACCTCAGAGGATGAGCTGCCTTTCTCGAGCAGCCGGGCAGAGACCTGTCGGTCTGGGAAGTAACTTCATGGGTGGGCAGAGCTCCTCCTCTCCATCACATGAGCACTCTGGTGAAAGGTCCAAAACTGAAATGGATGTTGACATAGAAAGTCCAAGAGGAAATTTCTGCCCGTCTTGAGTTCTTCCCTAGTCCACCCTAACACTTAACATACTACCCAGTCTGCTTTGTTAAAAGCAAACACTACCTTTTACTTTCCTCTGGCTCTCTGCCCTTTAGCTAACCAGTAAACTCTGATCCTCTGTAGGATGCTGGGCTGACAGCGTCCTTGGACTTGACCCTCAGGACAGATGCTCCAGCTCCCCCACGTCATCCCCTCCCAACACTCCAGGGAGGGCAGTTTCCGCACCACCTCTCAGATGAAGGAGCATGCCCACGTGGGCCAGCAGATGCAGGGTCCAAGGGCCTTCAGAGAGTGGAGCCAGTGCCCACTCCAGAGAGAGGAGATCCAGACTCTTCCCTGAATGGCCCCCGAGAGGGTTGCAGGGAGCCCAGGGGCAGAGGACACTCACAGTTGGGCATCACCCCGGAGGCGGCCCTGCCCACTCCTGGCTCCCTTTGCCACCCACCCACCCAGACTGTGTTGCTAGTGGCCTGAGGGCAGGGTTTGAGCAAACAGGAGAGCCACCAGGAAGTGCCCCAACATCGCTGACATCCCCTCCTGTGCCTGGTACCACCCAGTCAGGTCTTGCCAGCCTGTGCGTTCTCCACCCCTGCCCCCAACTCCGTTCCTCAAACTCCGGCTTCCACCAGAGCCTGGCCATCTGCTGGCAGGGCCAATCACAGAGCCCAGGCCGGAGGCAGGAGCTAGGTGCCCAGCCTGGGGCCCACACTCAAGACCCTGGCGATGTGGCAGGGCCTGCCCACAGAGAGGTCTCCTAGCACCTAAAGGTCAAAGAATCTCTTGCCAACCAGCCAGGGCTATTGGCTGGGTGGCAGGGGCCAGGCCCTTCCCACTCCCTCCCAGGGTTCCCAGAAGGGAGAGGTTGCTGGGGAAACAAATGGAAGGGGTCTCTGAGCCGCAGAGATGAATGGTTTGGGGTTACCTACGAACTCCAACTGTTTAAGCCTCCTCTTTTATTCCCCCGAGCAGAGAAAATTGAGAGTTGGATATAAAATCATGCATCTGATCCCCTAACAGGTCATGATGCAGAGGACAAGGGTGGGGAGACTATTATTACTGGTGGCATCATAGCATCAACCTTCTGTCACCAATAATAATAACCATATTATAATACCATAGTCATACAGTATCATAATATACTGACGAGTCACAGTATGGATGTCACATAATATTCTATAAGCTGCGTGAGCTATAGAATATGAGAAGTCAGCTAACATGGGACATTATATACTATGATGACATGTATTCCTATGACAGCTGGCACCGCCCGGAGTAAGGCAAGGGGAGTGGATGATCCTATAACCGAATCTGGATCACGGCAAGATCTCCCTCCCCTGTTCCCTGGAAGAAGCGGGGGAAAGCCAGGTCAGCTCCAGTGTCAGAGACAAAGGAGCGCTGTCTGATTACAGTGCCACAAAGAGCAGGGTCACATGGACATGGGGTTCAGTCCCCACTTACACGTCGCTCTCTCTACATATATCTATCTCCATCTAGCACTGGACTCTTCTCCTCCTCGTTCTCTGAAGAACAGGGGACAAAGAGAGGAGATGGGTTATGGACAGACCCACATGCTCTCCACCCAGTCACCAGGTCGCCAGGTCACCAGGTCGCAGGGGCTGGCCCTGCTTTGCAAAGCCCCTTTGCAGATGGAGGCCCAGGGTTTTCCACTGGGGGCTCTGGCCTCATCCTCTCCCTATCCTGTGAGCCTGGAGCTTCACTGTACTCCACCCACCCAAGAAGCTGGGCCTTGCTGGGCAACTGGCCTTAAAAGGCACCTGGGAGACAGGGAGATACAGCAAGGGGGCAGGGGGCGTACTGTAATGGGGGCTATGACGGTTAGAGGTGGGGGGAGATCTGGAGTCCTTCTCCACAGGGCCCCTCACTTGCACTGGCCCGGGGTGTGGGCAGCCAGCTCAGATGGGCCGGAGATAGAGGTGGCAGCCTCCCCGCTCCTCAGAAAGGGGCACATGCTGGGAGGGAGCCACCCCAGCTGGGCGCCCTCTGGCTGTATGTGGCTCAGCAGCTCCGCCCTGGGCACAGGGCACACCTGGCTCACAGCCCAGAGGCACCTCTCCCACAACGCCGTCCTGCCCCCACCACCACACCAACAGTGAGGAGAGCCAACTGCTGAACTGGGAGCCCAGGTCCTCACTGACCTGCCCCTCTGCCTGGGGTGTCCCAGGCTCCCTGTCTGAGCCACCTGCCTCAGGCTCAGGGCCCTCCAGGAAGTTGGATGGAACCAGGCCCCGCTGTCCATTCAGTTCCCCCTGAGGAGGAGATGCTGGTGAGACTGAGACCAGGAAAGAGGCCTCAGCTCCACCCCCTTGATTCTGAAGCCCTGGGGGAACCACCCGGGCTCAAGGTCACAATCATGGAAGGTGACCTAGTCCATTCCTCCAGGCTTCCATCAGGAGACGTTGCTCATCCCCCTTCCCCGCCTCAGGGGCACTCCCCCACCCCCATGTTCTCACATAGTAGAAGCCATCATCGTCCATGCCCCCGAACACTGTAATGACGTCCCCTGCCCGGAAGGGCAGCTCCGCCTATGGAGAGACCAAGGGGCAGTTATCAGGTCCAGGGAGGGAGGCCCTGCCACCCCCCGCCTTGGCTGGGCTCTCAGAGGGCCCTCACCTCCACGTCCATGTTGGGGGAGCTCTCCCGGGGGTTGTAGTCAAAGGCAGCCACCATGCCGCGGGGAGCTTCCAGGCCAGCAGAGGAGACCCGCTGGAGTGGGTCTGCAGGAGGTGGGGGAGAAGACACAGGACTCTCCTAGGCTCCCCCGCCCTATACTATCCTCCACACAGAGGCCTGCTGACCCTATCCACCACGCCCCACTAGTCGCAGGCCCTGGGGAGAGGCCAGAGGGGCCGCCCCGCCCCACCTCTTTCTGTTTCAGGGATGGCCCCTCACCTGCACAGAGCTGCGCAGGGCCTTCCGATTCAGCTGTGGAGAGAATGTGCCCATGAGCCCCGCCCCTCGCGTCCCTCCTCATCCCAGGTGGGGGCTGGAGCAAGGGCAGGCAGGATGCTCAGCCTCAGCCAAGGGCTGCAGGAGAAGGACACCCAGAGAGCACAGTAGCCCAGCCCCTTAGCTTTGGTAGGAATTAAAGCCCCGAAAGGGTAGGTGACTTCTCCAGGTTGCGTAGAACTTATAGTGGGGTGCTTTTTGGAACTGAGGTCCCAGCAAACTGCTCCCCATCCCCATTAGAATGAAGCTCCCCACTGGAAGGGATGGCTGTGGGTGAAGATCTGCCCTGGTTCCCTTTACCTGCTCAGGACCTCACCTGCATCTCCCCAGAGAGCCAAGCAGTGCCCTCCACCCCCCTCATCCACAGGCCCCGAGGGAGAAGGGGGGTCTCACCCACCTTTCTTGGAGCGGCGGGGTTTGGGGGGAGGCCCAGTTGTGCGGGCTGTGGAGTACACAAAGGGACCGTTCCCTGGTCCAGAAAGGCAAGGACATGTAAGAGAAACCGAGGCAGGGAGGGAGATAGGACAGTGACTCCAGAGGCTCCTCTGGGGCTGTGCCAGGGTTCCTGTACTCAAATTTCTGAAAGGCCTTTCTCTCCCATCCCCAACCTCCAGGATCCAAAATCCATGGCCCATCTCCTCTGCAACAGACCCCCATTCCATGTGGAAAGTTCGCTGCTGTGGCCATACTCGCCTTAGTCCCTGAAGGCCCCAGTGGCTCTGCCGGTGGATGAATGAGGCACCCAGGCCACTCCAGACAGACAAACTGCTTGGGCCAGGGTTGGGGTGGGGCCAGGGTTTGAGTTGGAAATGGGGTGGCGAGAGGTGGGTGAGGGACAGGAGCAGGTCATACCTGGACCCTCAACAAGGACATCAGGGGACAAATAACCCTGCTGGAGCAGCTGCTGTCTCCCGGCAGGGCTGTCCACAGCCACCTCGGCCACCATGTTGCAGGGGATGTAGCCCATCCGGCCCCCACCTTCACCCCGGTAGAAGCCATCGGCATCCTTGTCCCCAAACACCTGGAGGTGAAGAAGACCAGTTATCTCAGGAGGCCAGTTGAGCTTGCTCCCTGCGCTCCAGGCCAGAACCTGCAGCACCACACTTGGGACTACAGGAGAATGCTCTGCCTTCAGCACGCCATGGTACAGGAGATAAGGAAATGGCCAAAAATAAGGATCAGAAGGATGAGAGAAAACAGCCCTTTCCGCATGACCATCGCCCACTATCTGCACATCCATTCCCCCAGCCCACCCCAGACTAGATCTCCCTGACCTCAGAGCAATGGCCAAAAGCCTTCAAAAAATGCTTGGAGGCACAATAAAAGCTATGATGTTAACAGTCAGTCAGCGTTCTATGGGCACTGAGCCATTTAATCCTCAAACAACCCTGTGAGGTAGACACTGACATTACCCCCCTCTCACCAGTGAGGAAACCGAGGCCCAGAGGAGTTAGTTAATCCACTCAAGGTTACACAGCTAGAAGTGGCAGCATCAGGACCCGACCCCACAGCATCTGGCTCTAGAAGCTGCGTTCTCATCCCTCCAGTGCAGGGAAGGAGGGAGGAAGGACCTGGCAGTGAGTCAGTCACCTTCAGGATCTGGCCCTCCTGGAAGGGGAGCTCCTCCTCCCCGGCATCAGGGTTGGGTGACATTGACACGGGGTCATAGTCAAACAGAGCCACAAAGACCCTGATGGGTAGGTCCTGGTAAGCCAGCGCTGCTTCTGGAGGGTTCCTCGGAGGGGCTGTGGGGGAGAGCAACGGCAGTAAGTGCTGATCAAGGGGGCAGGGCTGCCCGCTCAGCCTAGCCCAGCCCCCATCAGGTGCTCACCCAGCTCGGTGGGGCCTGGCCTGGACCCCCGGGCCCCTCTCCGCAGGGGGCCCCTCCGCCCACAGCCAGCCTGCCCTCTGGGCTCCCCAGTCTCTGTTGCCTGCAAAGAGAGTGCAACAGATGGCAGAAGTGACACACCATCCCTCCAGCGGGCACCTCAGCAGGGGTAGGACCCGCAGGCACTCCCCCAGCTCAGCCTGGCAGCGTGAGCGGCACAGCAGAGCAGGGACACACATTCCTCTCCTGGAGCCGTGGCCCAGCCTCGCTGGGGACATCAGACACCCCCATGGAGGGAGGAAGGGCAGGAGGGGAGGCCCCAGCTCCAGCCACCTTAGTAGATGAGTGCAGTAGAGGGGACTAAGGTTAGATCTTAGAGTTGGCCAAGGAGCGTGGGAGAGGGCCTCTTCTCGGCGTCAGGGTTGGGTGATGCTGGATATCACGCTCAGTGTCCTGAAGATGTAATTAGCTAAGCAGAGGGAGGGGCCACCCTGCCCGAAGGCAGGGGCCTGGCTGGCTGGTGACTAATGACAGCGGAACACTGTGCATCCCAGTTCCAATCGGCAGAAGCAGCAAAGCAGTGGAATGTGGGCGGGAGGAGGCGGTGAGGGAGCCCGGAGGCCCGGCCCCACCTCTGCTGATGGACGCGGCAGCGTGGAATGGGAGCAGCCGGTGGGCAGCAAGCAGGGCCACCAGGTGGCAGCAGGCAGGGGGCTGCCCAGGGTGGGGAGTGGGCACGGACCCGGGAGGGTGACTCCTTGGTTCTGCCAGTTGCACTGCGGCCTCTCCGCTCTGGCTCCCCTTTCTCCCAGGCCGGGAGGCGTGGGTAGGGGTTGGGGCCTGAACTGGCCTTAGGAGGCCCCCGCGGCCTTCCTACGGGGGCTGTGCCCCAGGCCTCCCCATCTCCGAGGTGGCAGGAGCCGGTGTAGCTGACGCCCCCGCCGCCCGCCTCCTGCTCTTCCTCAGAATCGTATTCGATGCTGATTTCCAAGCACTTCGGGGAGAGGCAGCTGGCCAGGTTGGATTCTGGGGCCCGGCCACGGGTGCACTTCCTCGAGTGAGCTGGCCGCCCTCTCCCACCAGCCTCTGGTCCAGCCCTGCTGCCCTCGACCACAGTGGGGCCTACCCGTTCTCCCGGTGCGGGGCCTGGTCGTCCCGAGGCCTGGGACCCGGCGTTGCTGAGAAGCCGGCTGCA